CGCCGCGCCAGAGGGATCCCGACAGGCAGCGCGCGGACACCCCCGGCCGTGACGTCAATAGGGTGCGCCGTCCGCCGGCGAGGACCCCGCTGCGACCGCGTCCCCTCGGGTCCTTCAGCCTGTGCAGACCTCCTCGCCATGGCCTTGAGGCTCCTAAGACTGGCCCCCGTGTCCGCGTCCGCGCGCGGCCTCGCGGCGGGCGCCCAGCGCATGGTGAGCGGCGGCAGCGGGGGGCGGCGGGCCGGGGTCCTGGCCAGGTCCTTCCTTGGCGCGGCCTTTTCCTCCTCTCCCTGGGGCTCTGGTCGGCTGCTCCCGGGTCACTCTCTGGGGCCCCCATTCTTCCGGGATTTTTGTTCCCGAGTCGCGGGCCGACCTCAGAGGGGCCGCGAGCTTCTCCAGGCCATTTCCTCTCATCTCCAAGCAGAGCGCTGGGGCAGGGAGGTGAATTGGTCACCTGTCTGCCCTGGTTTGGGAGACCAGCTTGGAGATACTGCACCCTAGCGCAGTTGTTGCTCTAGACGTACGAACAGGTGTGGCGTGAGCCCAGAAGAGGCTGGGGGCACCGCGCTCGTTCAGTCCTTGATTCTTGTAGCAGTTCTGTTAAGCGCCAGTTAAGGGTCAGGCCCTGTTAGGCGCCGGAGTAACGCATTTGGGTTAGATCTGGAGGGGTTGGGAGGAGTTCTGGTGGCAGAGAATACTGGGATGACGTTGCATGTGGAGGGAACAAGAGAAACAAAAGCACTGTCGCTGGCAACATTCAGAAAAGTTTTTCATGCTGAGCATAGCTGTATCATAGCTTGTTTGCTATTGGCTGGTGCCACATTGTAAGGGAACTTGACTTCTGTGCTAAGGATTTTGATCAGCAAAGGATTGAGAACAGGAGAGTGCCACATTCTTATTAAAACGTCGTATGCTGCTTCCTTGAAAATCTCCTGGAGCAGTTCTACTCTGCACACGTGGTGTCGCCATGAGCCGGAGTCAGAGGCGACTAACAACATAAATATTAAGGAGACAGAATATTTTAAGAAAAGAAGAGAGAAAGGTGGTCTACTCTCTTTAATACCGTATGTTCTTTTTAGTGGGTAGTTAGTATTCCAGAGCCCCTGGGTGGTGCGTATGGTTAATGCACTTGGCTGCTATCATTCCAGTCCTCCCAGAGGTGCCTCGGAAGAAAGGCCTGGCTACGATCTACTTTTGAAAAACTCAACCATTGAAAACCCTTTGGGGCACAGTTCCGCTCTGACACATATGGGGTCACCATGAGTCAGAGTTGACTCGATGGCAGATGGTTTTAGTGTTCTATAATATACCTTAATTTTTTAAAATTATTTCTCTGGTATTGGACATGAAGGGTTTCTGTGTACATTTTTGGTGCATAAACCACATTTCATTGAGTGTCCTTGTAGCTAAATCTTTCCATCCAGAAAAACCAAATCTGTTGCTGTTGAGTTGATTCCAACTCAGGCAACCCTATAGGACAGAGTGGAACTGCCCCATAGGGTTTCCAAGGAGTGGCTGGTGGCTTTGAACTGCTGACCTTTTGGTTAGCAGCCTGAGCTCTTAACCGCTGTGCCACCGGGGCTCCGTTAAATCTTTGCATAGATCCTGTGGATAGATTCCTGGTTCAGTACCCCAGTATCCTCCAGGTTTACATCATAATTAGCAATTTATGAGGGTACTCATTGTCCAGTCCCAACTCTGCACATTATTGTTAAAAAACAAAGTCTCTCCCAGTTTGATACGTGAAAAGTGCTTGTTCTTTGTTTAAAAAAAAAAAAAGCGAAACTCACTGCTGTTAAGTCAATTCCGCCACCCTGCAGGACAGAGTAGAACCGCCCCATCGAGTTTCCAGGGCCGTAAATCTTTACAGAAGCAGACTGCCACAGCTTTCTCCGGAGGAGCAGCTGGTGGGTTCGAAACACTGACCTTCTGATTAGCAGCCAAGGGCTTAACTGCTGCGCCACCAGCGCTCCTTGTTAGTAGTCGTTGGTTTGTAGCTAGGTTGTACATTTTTCATATGGCTAGTGCCTTGTTTTTAATACTTTTTAAATAAGTTGCTATTATGGATAGAATTGTGTCCTGCCCAAAATAAGTGTTGTGAGTCCTAACCCTTATGCCTGTGTTGCCCTTTGGGGATGGATTTTCCTTGTTGTGTTAATGAGGCAGGATTAGTGTAGGGTGTGTCTTGAGTCAGTCTCTTTTGAGATATAAAAGAGATTAAAACAAGCAAGCTAGGAAGCAGAGATGTAGGAAGAGATGCCAAGCCACATGAAGATTGTCCAGAAGCAGAAGCTCGGAAGAGACAAGGACTTTCCTCCAGAGGTGACTGAGAAAGAAAGCCTTCCCCTAGAGCCGGCACTGTGAATTTGGACTTCCAGCCTCCTAAACAAGGACAAAATAAATTTCTGTTTGTTAAAGCCATCCACTCATGGTATCTCTGTTAGAGCAGCACTCGATGACTAAGACAGTTGCACATTCTTATTTTCTTGTTGATCTGTAAGAGCTGTGTATACGGTAAGGCTATTTCATCATATGCTGAAAAGACTTTTCTCAACTGTGTGCCTTTTGATTGTTTTTTTAAACTGTTTATGGATTCTCTTCTCAGGAAAGACACGCTGAGATGTGTTTTGGGAAGGAAGGTTGGTATGCAGGGTATTTTGGGGAGGCTGGAGGCAGGTTTTCACTCTAGACAAGAGACTGCAGACTCAGTGTAGGGGGGGAAGGGATAGTGTGCTTGGGACATTGAAGACAGCATCAGTGGGATTTTGTGAGTGATTATGGAATTGGAAGAAGGAGGAAGATATCAAAGGTGACTCATATTTGCTCTGTTTTACTTGGTGGATAGTGGATTGAAAACATGAGGGAGAGCAGATTTGGGCGTTGGGGTAATGGGTGTTAAATTTCAGGTTTCGATCTGTTAACTTTCAGGTACCTTCAGAACATCTGGATGGAGCTCTTTAATTGTCGGCGGGATAGCTAAGTCTGGAGCTCAGGACAGAAGTCTGGATTAGAGAAATGCTTTTCATTCCCTTCCTCCCTCCCTCCGCCTCCTCTCTCCCTGCCTCCCTTCCATTCATTTGTCCAGTTTCGTTGGTTTGTTTGATTTTCAGCACGGTAGACGTATTCTAGCACACGCATCGTTAATGTCACAGCAAGTAAAATTCTGCCGAAGATCATTCAAAAGCGGCAGCAGCAGTACATCTACAGAGAACTGCCAGAAATTCAAGCCAGATTCAGAGGAGGATGTAGAACAAGGGATATCATTGCTGCTGTCAGATGGATCCTGGCTGAAAGCGGAGAATACCAGAAAGATGTTTACCTGTGTTTTATTGACTGTGCAAAGACGTTCGACTGTGTGGGTCATAACACATTATGGACAACGTTGCGAAGAATGGGAATTCCAGGACACTAAATTGCGCTCGTGAGGAACCTGTATATAGATTAAAAGGCAGTCATTCAAACAGAACGGGGGGATACTGTGTGGCTTAAAATCAGGAAAAGTGTGTGTCAGGGTTGTATCCTTTCACCGTACTTATTCAGTCTGTATGCTGAGCAAATAGTCTGAGAAGCTGGACTGTATGAAGAAGAACGGGGCATCAGGATTGGAGGAAGACTTATTAACAACCTGGGATATGCAGATGACACAACCTAGTTTGCTCAAAGTGAAGAGGACTTGAAGCACTTACTAATGAAGATCAAAGACTTCAGTATGGATTACACCTCAACATAAACAAACCAAAAATCCACACAACTGGACCAGTAAGCAACAATCATGATAAATGGAGAAAATATTGACGTTGTCAAGGATTTCATTTTATTTGTATCCACAGTCAACACCCATGGAAGCAGCAGTCAGGAAATCAAACCACGTATTGCACTGGGCAAATCTGTTAAAAAAGACCTTTTTAAAGTGTTAAAAAGTAAAGATGTCACTTTGAGAACTATGTTAGGCTGAGGTTCTCTAGAGAAGCAAAACGAGTGAAATATCTTTATTTGTATCTATCTCTACAGAGAGAGAGAGGGGTTTATAACAAGGAAATGACTCATGTAGATGTAGAGGCTGGAAAGTTCCAAGCCCGTGGGTCAGGCTGGAGGCTTCTCCCAACTCATGTAGCTGCAGGAGCTGGTGAACTCAAGATCCAGACCTCGGAGCCTGAAGAATCCTAAGATCAGCAGGTAAGCTGCTAGCTCAAGTCCCAAGAACCAGAGGTCAGATGAACAGGAGTCAGCTGCAGGATCCAGAGTGAGCAAAAGCCCTCGAGCTTTGCCAGAAAATCCACTTATATTGGATGCAGGCCACACCCCCAAGGAAACTCCCTTTCAACTGATTGGGTACTCACAGCAGATCCTATCATGGAGCTGATCAAATTAAATCAGATCTCATTAAAAACAGCAACAACAACCAACTCTGTTGCTGTCAAGTTGATTCCGACTCCCAGCAGCCCTATAGGACAGAGTAGAACTGGCCCATACAGCTTCCAAGGAGCACCTGGTGGATTCGAACTGCTGACTTTTTGGTTAGAGCCATAGCTCCTAACCACTCTGCCACCAGGGTTTCCAGATCTTATCGTGGAGGTGACTATATCGGTATACGACTGCCAAACTACATCACAGCTACCAAACCACTGAGAATCGTGGCCCAGCCAAGTTGACACACAGTCTTAAAGATCATAAGGACTAAGGTGTGCCTGACCCAAGCCATGGTGTTTTCAGTCTCCTCATATGCATGCAAAAGCTGGACAATGAATAAGGAAGACTGAAGAAGAATCGATACCTTTGAATTATGGTGTTGGCAAAGAATATTGAATATATCATGGACTGCCAGAGGAATGAGCAAATTTGTCTTGGAAGAAGTACAGCCAGAAAGCTCCTTAAAAGCAAGGATGGCGAGACTTCGTCTCACTTAGAACATGGTATCAGGAGGGACCAGTCCCTGGAGAAGGACATCATGCTAGGTAAAATAGAGGGTCAGCGAAAGAGAGGAACATTCCCAACAAGATGGATTGACATAGTGGCTGCAACAGTGGGATGAAGCATAGCAATGATTGTGAGGATGGCGCAGGACCGGGCCAGTGTTTCGTTCTGTTGTACGTGGGGTCGCATTGAGTTGGCCTCGACTCGATGGCCCTTAACAACAATCCTGTGTTGGTATTTTTCTCACCAAGGGTTTTTCAGTACTTTCAGCTGATACTTGCTACCACTTCCAGTAGCTGAGTGCTCACCTTGTGCTGTTGGGTTTTTCAGGGAGGGATTCACACAAGTGCACAGTGCAAGCTGCGGTATGGTCCTTTGGCGTTCATACTTGGCGATAAAGCAAGCAAAAAACTGACGGAGCACAGCAGAGTGATCACCGTGGATGGCAATATCTGTTCTGGGAAAAGCAAGCTTGCAAAAGAAATAGCGGAGAAACTAGGTAGGTGTGAACTTACACATGCAGAATGACAGCTTTTTCTCTGATGTGTGCTTGCTTGTCTCTGTCTTATATGGATTTAATATTGACTAGGTGGAATTGGTCCTAAAGGTAGGTATTTAAAATGTTTGAAATATTTATTGAAAAAGCTGTTGTTAATCTTTCAGATTTGGAAAGTTAAAAAGCACGTGGGTTGTCGTCCTGAACTAGAGTTTTATCTTGACGGCGTGAGCAGCCCACTCTCCCACGAGCTGTCTGATGGCAGCTCTGTAATAGCCCTGTAACAGCCCCGAAGCCATTGCTGCAGAGTCGATTCCAACCCACAGCGACCCTGCAGGACAGAGTACAGCTGCCCCACGGGGTTTCCAGGGCTGTAGTTTTTATGAGAGCAGACTGCCACATCTCTCTCCCACAGAGCTGCTGGTGGGTTCAAACCACTGACCTTTTGCTTAGTAGCTGAATGCTTAACCACTGCACCACAGGGCTCCTTTCTGAAATAGACAGGGCTGCTGTTATTGCTTATTCTGATGTTGTTGTTGTTGTTGTTAGGTGGTGTCGAGTCAGTTCCAACCCATAGTGACCCCGTGTACCACAGAACAAAACACTGCCCGGTCCTGCGCCATCCTCACAGTTGTTGCTATGCTTGAGCCCACTGTTGGCAGCCACTGTGTCAGTCCATCTCGATGAGGTTCTTCCTCTTTTTTGCTGACTCTACCAAGCATGTTGCCAATTTCACAGATGGGTAAGCTCCGTAGAAGCTGTAGTCACACTGCTGGCTAGTGGCAAAGCTGGAGCCGGCACCATCTCCCGCCTCGCGTGCAGATGTTTGTCCGTGGTTCCCTCTGTACATTTGACAGGCAGTTAGTTCCTCAGTTGTGCGGAAGGGACCTCCCAGAGGTCTGGGAAGCTCTCCTCAGCGAGGAATTCCTACAAGGACACAGCGGAACCAGCTGCCTGGGGGCCTTTAGTGCTCGTGCGTGTGCTACACGCGAGTTCAGACACGTTCCCTTCGCTGTCCGGGCTCTGTCTCTCACGGATGCTGAACCAGTCGTGAGCGCGCGTCCCCAGGGCTTTTCACCGGCCCAGCAGCGGTGTTCTGACGGGGCTTGGGCTGACCGCCGCCCTCCCTGCTCTTCCGCTAGTCCATCTCACCGGACGGTTTCTCTCCTCAGGATTACGGCACTTTCCGGAAGCAGGCATACATTACGCAGACACTACGACAGGAGACGGGAAGCTGCTGGACGTAGAGTTTAGTGGCAACTGCAGTTTGGAGAAATTCTACGCCGACCCAAAGAGCAACGACGGCAACAGCTACCGCCTGCAGTCCTGGCTGTACGCGAGTCGCCTCCTGCAGTACGCCGACGCCTTGGAACACCTGCTGAGCACAGGTTCAGTACCCGTGGGGAAGGAGCTGCTGGGGCCCCGTCTGCGTTTGAGCCCTGTCCCGGAATTCTAGAGTGCCGCTAAGGAGAGCTTTTCCTCTGGGTATTTGATGGCACAAGGTCCGTCTTTCCAGTGAGGTTGTGAATTCCCTGAGATCCACGTTACTGTTGCTTCTTAGTAACAGGAGCTTCGTATTCTTTTGTTGTTGTGTAATGGAGGGAGATTAACGGGTTACATGGCATTTCTGTGCCGCTGATGCAGTCATGGAGGTGAAATGTGTCAGAACTCTGTAGGAACGAGGGGCCGTGAGGGAGACTGGGGAGCAGTTAGAGCTGTGGAGCCGGGGCGGCCACAGAATAGGGTGTCCAGGTGTGTGCATCCTGGGGCAGATGTTAAGCCTTGAGGAGGCCTGTGCATGAAGGTGGCTGCAGAGAGCCTGGTGGAGAGTGCCTGGCTGTAGTGGTCTGAGCAGGCTGGGCCCTCGGTGGCCTTTGTGACCGTCGGGAGGCCATGTGTCTGGACACGGTGAGCGGGGCTGAGAGGAGATGAGGTTGAGAAGTGGCGGGCAAGGTGGGAGGGCTTGGGGGCACGCAGGGACTTAGTGTTTCCTGTGAAGGAGGTAGGAAGCCACTGGGAGGTCTGTGCAGTCGAGCGACATGATCTGTTTTAAAAACGTCACTGCTGTTGGGTGGGAGTAGACGAGGGGCCGGGGGCAGAAGTGCGGGGTGGGGGGCAGGTACTGGCTGTCGCCTTGTCTGGAGGTGAGGTGGCACCAAGGAGTGACGGGGAGGCAGTGCAGGGTGGTTGGATTCCAGGTACAGCCTGGGGAAGGCCGGTGAGATTTGCCAATGAGTGGGATGTGTCGGGAGGTAGGGTTGAGATGACTCTGTGATCTGACCCAGGCAGTTGTGGGGGAGTGGGTGAGCATGTGGGTGTATGAAATATGTGGTTGAGAAAACCACTTTTTAGGCAAACTAGATGCTTTTGTTGTAGCCGATTGAATGAAGCAAAATGTTACTAGGCAAAAAACAAAAATTATAATCTAGAAAATGATTTCCCACCCATAAGTGCGTCTGCGTTCTCTTGAACGTATTTGGTGTGGTCATGGAGTTATAAATAACTGGGTGCCCTCACCTACCATGAGCTGACTGGTTTCCAGGCGGGAAGTGTCATCTGCTGCTCTTATGGGTTGCCCTGTTTTCACAGGTCAGGGTGTCGTGCTGGAACGCTCCATTTTCAGTGACTTCGTCTTCCTGGAGGCGATGTATAACCAGGGCTACATCCGGAAGCAGTGTGAGTGGTCTGCGGGGCGCTGCTGGGTGGCGTAACTGCCAGGGCCCCGAGGCGCACTGCCCAAGGGCGGTCTGTGTAAGTTTATCAACGCCTCTCACGGAGATAAAGAAATGCCGTCACTTAGTACATTTCCACAGGAAATACATCTTAGAGAACTTACGGAGGTTTTGCCACCTCTTTCCTTCCTAAAATAGGTGTGTTTGTCCTTGCACACCTACCTGTGAGAGCAGAGTGGTGTCCTGGGTGCTTGGATACACAGGTTACCCCCAGCTGCCCACGGCCTCCCACAGGGGACCCTCCCCTGTTTCCTTGGACGCACAGCTGCCCGCGGCCTCCCACAGGGAACCCACCAGTCCCGGGTCCCTGGACACACAGCTGCCCACGGCCTCCCACAGG